AGAGTTGCAACTACAATAATAACAATTAATATGACATTAAAAGTTAAGCCAATCCATTTAGTCAGTCCTAAACCAATATCCATGTCTATGTGTATACTTTGATGTGTATTTCTTAATCCTTCTCAACCTACATAATAAATGAAGGAATTTAATTAACTGATTGTACATGTACATGATAAAACATGAGGTTTACTGACCTTGCTTCCTCTGCCTCTTGTATTTCTGATCTCTCTTTATCTTTTAACTCTTTCATTGTCTCTCTATTGTCTCTAAATAATTATAAACAGTAAGAGGTGTATGTAAGTGTGTGTGTATACATAATGTGTGTGTGTGTTCATTAGTACTTGTAATATATGACATATCCATCATCATATAGTCCTAATGAGTATGGTATGCCTGAACTGATGGAATACCATTCCAACTTATTCTCAATATCAAGACATGGTATCTCAACTGGAAATGATGTTCCCTAATAGAGTCAGAGAGAGAGAGAGTATCTTTAAAATGTTTTAATGATTAACCTCTGTACAATAGATATACTCAACAGGAACTCCACTTAACTCCGAAAGCTGTGAAAACAATAATAATGTGATACTTACACATGTTCCTTATTATAAATAATACCTTTTCAATAACATGCTTAGGACCATATGTATTATCCAGTATAATTTCTTCTATTGGATCAACTGAACATTGTGATGGACGCCATTTTATAACATACACCTGTGTCTGTGTTACATCCTTCTTCTTCTCTGGTCCTAACAAAATAATACACTAGCTAACATTAAACTTACTATAAAATGCATCTAGTATGTACAGTACAATATACTGAAAATATAACTGAGATATGTTACAAAAGTAAAGATCAATGACAGTTTTTATAACAAAAGGACAACTATGATAAAGACAAAGACTGAACTCAGGAATATCCACCCACATTAATAACAATTATAATAATACACCATACACATTAATACTAACACATACAGCAGATATACTAACCTTTCAATGGTTCCACATACATTTCCCTACTAGTATTAATGAACTGATGATCAAGATAATATACTCTACCAGGGGATACTCCATCCTTGAAACGTAATCTCATTCTACACAATAAGTCACATGATAGTCACATGATGTACATGTACACCATATAGTTTGTGGGTGTCAAAATTTGCAATTTGGCTGCACTTTTGTATTTTAATGCAATTACTACACCTATACTACAATCATCATGCTATTTTGTGGATTTAACTTCACAAACTTTTGCAAAACGCAAAAATTGCAAAAATTTAATCCCCGCAAAATACCGTACAGAAGGAAATTTTGGAGGGACTAAATTTTGGCGAATTGCTAAATTTTGGATGATTGGCGAATTTTAATTTGGCGAATTTGTGGCCATGTGCCATTGAGCATGCGCATAATGGCTCAAAATGGCAAATTTTTATTTTGGCGAATGGCTATCAAAACGCCAAATTCGCCAAATTTAACTACCTCCAAAATTTCCTTCCATACGGTATATGGCATATACGGTATTTACTTTTCTAATTCAAGGACACAGTCAATTCCTTGTACTTTTGCTTCTTCAATAATTTGTTTCTTAAATTCTTTCACTGGTGTACCCTCAGCAACAATAGATTCCATTATAAACTTACAAAACTAAAAACAAAATATCAATACAAAGTGTAACAATTACCGTATTTCCTCGAATAAGGGCCTAGGCATTTATTGCTTAACAGAGGCAAAAATCACGAAAAAAAATTGCAAAACCCAGGATCAAACCCGTAACTCTATGTCTTGAGGACTGAGGATGAACAGTTAGGCTATTTGGACCACTCTAACCACTGATGTACATAATACTGGCTCAAATATGTGTATCTATAGTGGTAATATATTAGTGATAGGCGCTTATTTGAGTAGGGCCCTTATTCGAGGAAATACGTTAAATATTCTTATACTTCTGTATTGTTAACTTGTAATAAATACAATGTAATTCTGTACTCTCCTTCTTGTAATGGTCTACCCAGTCTTACTATCAGCTAGGAGATGATATACAAAGTAATAAATAATAGAAGGCTATTACACAAAACCACCTCTGATCCAGAATCAATATACTGTAAGCTTGATGTACTATCAAGTCTGTTTATTTCATATTCTTTATTATCACTGATTTTATACACTATAAAACCAGTAGGTGGTATACCAATCAGTGGAACTAACTCTTCCTTCAATTGAGCTAATGTCATTCTCTTATCAACTAGTACTTGTACCTCTGTATTGAATAATATAATGTTTACATTAATGTTATTACAATTAAGTTTACTTCTTTCTTTTCCTTTATATTCTTCCTTCATTGGTACAAACTTCATTATTATCCCTCCTTCAGGTACATTAGTTGCAGTATGAGTGGCTTCAGGTCCAGGAGCCAGAGGTATTGTAATGTTTAATAGTATTCGGTTGATAAGATAAAGTTCAGAAACATATCTGTACGTACATCTCACTATCTTTGAATTCTTTTTTATAATCTTCAGAATCTGATGATACATACACTAACTAAAAGTGTGTTGGTGTGTGCATAAAGACAATAAAGAGGAAAAAAGTGTGAAATACATGTACCATGTAAAAGTGAAAAATAATATTAAAATCATGATTAGATATACCAATATAAACTTAAACATGCATGCTCATGGATACATAGATTTACATGTACATTCATAAAAAAAGATAAATGGTAATTTTTGGAGAAAATAACCACTATCAAATATTCCATTACAGTATTAATATCAGTACTCTGTACTTGTCGGTCTTTGTATGTTGATTTTCTGAATATCTTCCCTAAAGTACTTCCTGCATCACTAATATCAGTAACATCATTCTTCTCCTCTAGCACAAATCTCATACATGATGAATTAAGATTATATACCTAGAGAAAAATGAACCAAATCAATAAGGAAGGAGAACAATATAAATGGCAGTATATAACTTCCCTTACTTCTCCTATATGGTGTTTTAATTCTCCAACAGTCCAACCATCTTCAACTCTCACTAGTTTAGCTGATCCTACTTTACCAGTTGACAGATCAACTACTGATATCTTTAGATTATTACCTACACCATCAAACACATCATAGTATAATTAAAGGCATTGTCAATGTAACCGATCACACTCACCTCCATCATGGTATTTATCAAAAATTTCATTTTCTTCACGAGTTTCTATGAATAATCCAAAAGGATAATAACGTCTAGTTCCACCCACAATTTGTCCAATAGTTTGATGCTGAAACTAAAAATAACAATAACAACAGGATACACAAAACTTAATTGTACCTCATCAAGATCAAAGGACTGTTCCATTAAATCATCATCATAAGAATATTTAACTAAACGACATCTCTCAATAGGAATATGGGGAGCTAATTTCATTAACTGATTAAGGAATGAAGAGAATAGAAATGAAAAAATGAAAGAATAAATAAAAATTAACAAAAAATAATAAACCTCATAAGCTTTATCCAGTACTGTGAGTAGTAATTCATCTTTATGTACTTCAAGTATTGACTCCAAAAATTTTCCAGTAACAGGATGATTACAATATAATTTGAACTAATTGAAAAGAGTATTATCAATGTCTGATTTCACTTACTGAACAAATTTGATCCTTAAATTCATCATTCATACTATTATACTCAATCTCTTCATCACTAGTCACTTTATCTCCTGCAGGATCCTCAGTCTCTTTATCTTTCAAATCTATTAATAATTATATCACCAATCAAATGATGACACCAAAACCTTCAATATCTTTTATAATCTTCTCATTGTGTTCTCTTTCAGTCATTAGTTCAATATTCATTAATGTTATTCTTTCTCGTAATTTCTCTATAATTCTTTTATTATCTACTAATGGCTGATAGTCTGGTCTTGTCATTGCTTTAAGATGAAATTTGCAGTCATCAATTTCAAAAGACATTCCTCCTCTCACTTTGCTAGCAGCTTGTAATGGATCACCATGGGATAACAATAACTAATGAGCTAGACATATCTCATAGAGGCAGACTTCCTCAGCAGGTGTTAACGTCTGAAGAGACTAATGAGTCACTGACCAATGAGAGAAGGGGAGCTGAGTGCTGAGTATGGGATGTATGATAGATATATATATGTGTGATTGTTGTAGTTGTGTTGTTGTTCGTTTTTGAGAAAAATATCTTTTTAAAACTAAAGACCACTCAGCGTTATCTTCTGTCGGTGATCCTTGACATATTTGGTGGCAGCGGTGGGATCTCTCCTCAAACAGTTGAAAGAGGGAATCCCATTAGAAGAGCAGGAGATATCCGACAGTTGATGTCTACAGCGCGGAGAAGACGGACCAAGTACTCACTAAGGAACATACCAAGACCTGATTACCATAGACAGCTCAAAGGACCAGTTATCTCAA